TGAAGGAAGAGTCATAGAAATGCACACAATTGCGAGACCCTCTGCAGAAACAGGAGAAGCCCTGGGAGCGGGTCTCGCTACTGAGTCCAAACAAGGTACGTCAGAAGTATTTGTAGGCACAGGAAAGAGAACAGGGCTGTCAATGGCCGCGCTGCCTACTCCTACTATGAAAAAGTAGACTGCAATCTCTGAATAAATCCAGGAAAATATGGTGGTGGCCAAAAAAGGCCTGAAGCAGTATGAAAAGGCCCAGAAAACCCACTGAAAGGTCCCTTGCTCCCATTTGAACAAGTACTTTCATGAGAAGTAGATTAAAGCAGTCAAGAGCTATGTGAACAAGATCCACAGACTGCATAAGGGCCCTATGTAGGCCGCTGATCTGAGATGCTTGTAAAGCACACCTCCACCAAAAGTGTTAGTTATAGACCAATAGCATGAAGGGCTTTAAAATGCCTTTTAGGAGTGAAGTTGTCCACTATCAAGCTGCGAGAAGCTAAGAGGTCCTTTCCACTGGCTTTGATTTGAATGTCCTCCAGTGGCACGCTCAAAATGGTACTTCAGACTATCGCACTTCTGTGACATGAGATCACAAATTTCCCGACAACGCTCCAGTCTCCAGCCCCTTCTCTTGCTCATTTTACCACTTCTCAGTGTGACCCTAGTCACTCAAAATATCAGTATCAAAAGAGTTAATATACATACACATATATGTACTTAATATATATGTATTATAAAACAAGATCTTTACAGTGGCAAATACAGAAAGAAAAACAATGGAAAAAATCCACTGGCTCACAGCCTTATTACTGTACTCAGCTTTCAGAAAAAAAATATGTTCCATGAGGTAAGTAATTGAACCAAAAGGACCTTTACTTTTTATAGTTTTACCCTGCCATGGGAAGTTGACTGCAGGTCAACAGGACTACAGCTGTATCAGGTTTCAAATTTCTCAAGTAAAACCTTAACATTATTGCTAACGGTGCAGTTTTACCACTTAGGTGGAAGGGGTTCTATTGCCTGTGTTTTATACTGACCATGTGAAAAAAAACCCTGAGTAAAAAATGTTGAGTTGAGGAAACATATTATACTTAACAACCATTTTGTGTTACTTCAAGTTGCATACGAATGCTGAAAATAACTTTCTTTTTCTATCACATTGTTTTTTTAGTCTAATTTGTTAAAGAAGAATATACAATCATCATATCTGACACTGGCATACCATGCTGAAAGTCAAAATTCTGCATACAACCATTTCTTCAAGCTTGTAAGAACACAAGTTCCTTGTGCTACCTTGGTACAATGACTTTCCTAGCCTGAGGTCAAGCTCATACTTGGCCATACTCTCTCTTGCCTACAGAAAGAGACAAAACTCAAAAAGGTGGAGAAAATAACACCAACTATCAGCTCTTTCAGATAGATGTGGGAGGAAAAAGAAAGCAGTACTTCTGACTCCCTCAAACTGTAATTTTTGGTTTAGCTTAAATTATTTTTTTATTTCAGTCAACTTGAAATCAATCCCAATCAAAAGCCTTTTTGTGGCCTTTTGAGGCTGTGAGGAGGAGTCTGAAACATTGTCAATAGTTTCACTCCATCAGTCAAACCTCAGAAGCAGAGATTGGCAGGTTGTACTTGCACCTTGATGATGGTGGTTCTAGGTCAGCTGAATTTGGCACAGACAAACATTAAAGCTGTACAGCATGTTTTAGGCTTTTACCATAATTGTTTCTTAGGAGATTTTCCTGTTTAATACTGCTGTGTGAAGAGTAGGTCTGAACCTTGCATTGTGGCATGACTCATGAAATTCAAAAAAACATTTAGCAAAATGCCAGCAAAAGTGCTCACTTGCAAATGGTGTAGCTGGTTACCTAATAATGAATAGCATGGCCGGAGCCTGAGGAATTGAACCTTCTTACTTCACACAACTACCTTAGCTTGTGCAAGCTACTTAAATGGTGCTTCTGCTGGAAACATCGCAACGGTACTCATCAACGTTTCTCAGACTAGGGGAGTCCCCTCCTCCCTTCCTAAAGGAGAACGTGGACTGAGCAGCCCTGGGGCCAATGGGAACGCAGGAGGTGGCTGGGACAGAGACAACGCTAAAGAGCAAAACACAGCAGGAGGCCTGTGGCCACTGGGAAGCTGTCCCACTGTTCAGGCACCAGCATGACTCATTTTGGATGCAGCCCTCTCCAAGAGAGAGGAATGCAGTTTCTGGCAGGCATGGTGCTCTTGACTGCTCCCCAAATATTCTCTTCATTTCTATCTTCTTTGTCCCTGCCTTTGCCACTTCCTTCTAGTCACACACCCCTCTGCCACAGCAACCCACCCTTCCGGCATCTGTCCACAGTGTGGCCCCATTTGATGACTATTGCATAAGTAGTTCTCAAATTGGGGCTGTCATAAAAGGGTCAGTAAGCCCCTCATGAAACAACTTGTTTTAATGTTCTCATTAAAGGACCAGGTGTGCAAGACAAGGTTGAGCACAAGCACCAGTTCTTTCATTGTTGACTGAATGGTATTTTTCCATTTCCGTAAAGTGCCTTTGTCATTCCTTTTGTCTTCTTCTTCCATACGCCCTCTCCTTTCCCCTGAGAAGTTTAAGATATTGAAAACAGATGATGGTTGCCCAAATATGCCCATAGGTGTATTTGACACCAAACTCTGAAGTGAAATGCAACAGCCACATTTACCTCAGTTGAATGACCGTGTTCAGATGACAGAAGAACTAGCCTGAGATTTCAACCATAGCCCAGAACAGGTTTTGTGAAGTTTCATTCTCCTGTTTGCACCTGTCCCCAGAAGGACTAAAACAAGAGAGAGAGGCCTTTCCTATGAATACTGGAGATATGCAATGTAAATAGCACCAGAATAAGCAGCTGTACTTGGTGGCAGCTGTACAGACTGTTTCAAATTCACTTCACCTAGCACTACTCTTTTATTATACTCCTACAGAGTATTCTAGGCTTGCTATACCTCATTCATATTTTCCTCTCTCCATGTAAGGAACGTATCTTCATAAATGGATGCCCTGTTTCTGCTCTCAACAGGCCTAAGATTTCTTCGTGTTCATAACTGCATCTGAAGGGAAAAAACAAAAAACAAAACCACCAAAAAACAAGATAATCTGTGTACAAAAGTTATCTCTGAACTCACACTGAAGGGATTTGTTCTCCTTAAAGAATTAATATAAGTCATTAAACAAAGTAAACAACTTGAATAATCTGTGCCCACCTTTTACATTTTTCCTACCAGACTTTCTGAAAAAAGTATTTTTTTAGATAAAAGCAGAAGTTTATTTTTTACATCTAAGGCGTGGAGGGAGGCCTTTTTTGAGTAGCACTGACTATGAAAGTAGAATAGAACATTAGAAAAGTTTGCTGTACTTTGTATTTTTGCTAAGGACATAGCAACATTTGACTACAGGTCTAACACATTACCTCTACGATGACAGTTCACCAGTGTACCTTGGGGGGAGGGGGGGAAGAGTCATACTCAGTGCCCTCCCTCAGCCTTTCCCCTAGATCATCTGTTTCCATGAGCTTTGCCTGCACAGAGTTTAATACCCAAACAGGAACAGGCTCCTTAATACCTTTTTAGAATGATATCTAAAAGGGCCTCAAAATTGGAGGCGAGGCAAAACCGAACTACTCAGCACACAGGCAGGCAACCAATCTGCAGAAATCATTCCCGTTACTCCTTCCAGGCGGGGAAGGGGATAACCTTGGAATAACAACAGAGAAGCAACCCAAAACAACAGTACCACCGGAGGTCCCCTCGCCTCCTCCCTCCCCCCCCGAAGGCGGAAAAAAGAGAGGAGGAAGGGCGGGTACATCCGCGTCGGCGCATGCGCAGCAGGCACAGCCCGAGCGCCCAATCACCGATGGCGTCGCGCAGGCACAGCGTGGAAGCCTGAGGCATCGATCGGCC